TTTCATTCATCTTTATTCTATTACGATCATGCAAATATTATGCAATATTAAGAATGACATAAAAAATCGTTAGGGACATAAGTATTATAGTGGGTAAAGATTAAGAATTTTAAGTGCAATTAAAAAGTTGTGCAAAAAATAAAAATTGTGGTACAAATATTAGGGTTAGACAAAATTCATGAACCGAACTAAGCGGTTTTTCTTAAGTTAAATACCTGAACGGGTATCTAAATCGAAAATCGACGAGTTTGGTTTGATTTTCAGTTCTAAGCTAAGAACCGAAAATTCGAATAATAACCGAATCTCCTTAATTTTTTATCTTAAAAAGTCAATTATTTTATTTTTTAAAAAAATAAATTTGCTAACTAATTAATTTAGTTCAAACCCAAAATAAGATTTTACTATTTCTAATTTCTAGCCAAACCCAACTTAATCAATTTAACCTAAATTTTATCCAAATCTCTTATTCTACCATAGTGTCGTTTATGTCGTTCTATTATTGTAAACTCGTTATCTTCATCTTCTTGTGATCTTAACAGTCAAATTCATGAAGAACTCAACAAAGAGAGATAAAAAAGATATCACGAGATTGGATTACGTTATTTTGCAAGAGTTAAGATTTAATATATTATAGTTGAATTAATGTAACGCTGTTATAATATAAAAAAATTTAATTATTGTAAGAAATTCAGGAATCGAATAAAATCGAACCGAAACGGTTCTATAATTAAATTTGGACCCAACGGTTCCATTTACTAAATAGCCGAAAATTCAGGTTCAATTTGGTTGAACCGAATCGAACTATGCTCAACCCTAATGAATATAATTACCTAATACCGAATCGAACAATGCCCCAACCCTGATGAATATAATTACCTAATGTTAATTAATGAAGAACTGATGATAATAATGTGATGACATAAATATAACAAGTGAAGATTGTAAACCCAAGATTGGCTAATCAAGAGGGGGTGAATTGGTTTTTAAAACTTTTTCATTAACTATTACAAAATTTTAAACTATTGATAACCCAAATGATAAATAATATGAACAAAACAAAAAACCACATACTAGAAATGATATAAGCTTCCACAAAGTAAAACATTAAGTAAAGAGTTAGAGAGTGCAAACGATATGTTATGGAGGTTCGATCCAACGCAATGATCTATGTCCCCTGTTACCAAACTCTCCGTCACGAGCAAGACCTTTTTCACTATATTGATTGACTTGTGGTGCAATCCAACATTTTACAACACTTCCAGTGACTTACAATTAAGGAGCACCGATCCTTTTACAATATTGAGCTTTTTTGAGACCTCAACATGATCCACAATTCAAAATAAATTTACAAGTGAAATCTTCTCTTCTTATTAAATGATAGAATCAAGATTGATAGCAAGAAGAGAAGAGGCAAACACTTCAATAGATGACAATGATTATAGGTAGGGGTGGGCGTCGGTTGGGTTGGGTTGGGTCGATTTTTGCCTAAACCCAAACCCAACCCAACATTGTCGGTTTGTTCAAAATCCAACCCAACACAACCCATGTAAATGTTGAAACTCAACCCAATTATGTGTCGGTCAGGTTCGGTTGGGTTGGTCGGTTTGTATCGATGATTTTTATTAACTAGTTCTAAATTACAATGTTTCGGCTCATGTCTCAATTCAAATTTTCAACAAGAAAATCAAAACTAAAACGAGAATCCACGAGAAATAAATGAATATATAGAAATAAACGAGTAGCCACTGGACCAGCAAGCAAGCAGGACAGCCACGAGAAACCAGAAAGGCAGAAACTACATATTCTTTTTTAGCATTTCCCACTTACATTTCAGATGAAGGTTTTATTTCTAGAATAGCACTCAGATGAAGATTTTATTTCTAGAATTAAAATAAATAGATGAAGGTTTCCCCTCAGAAGCCCACTTTCATGCTTATATAGGAAGGGAAAATGATAGTTTTAGAATAACAATAAATTAATGAGATTTCTACTCATAAGCCCACT